CTTAGAGGGCGCTTCGCGCTCATCTTCTAAATTAATTGTGAACATGTTCTCTTTGTGTACATCGTAAAACAAAACAAAAATAATTCGCGGATTTTCACATAAAATTTCGTTGATTTTCAAAATTTTCAAAAATTTAATGAAGATCGAATTTTGATGGAGACAAATATTTGAAATTTTGATCATTAATAAACCTTCCCTGGGGCTCGCGTGAGGTCTCACAAAAAATTTGGACCCGATCGGTTCAGCCGTTTTGACGTTTATTGGATACAAACAAACAAACAGACAAACAGACAGACAGACAGACAAGCCAAATTTATATTATAGATAAATAGGTTGTTTACAAATTCGTATTCAGTCTTGAATTATTATCCAATATTAATGGTAGGAAACTAAACATCCCTTAATCATTCAAAGGTATAAAGTTAGCTCTCAGAAACCCCATCTTTCATATAATGAATGAAACCACTGTGATCCGGGGAAGATAAAGCAAATTTGTTGCAAAGTTTAAATTAGTTTCTCATTAAACAAAAACGATTTTTCGGTTATTACAAAAGTGTAAATCCGATCTACAATTGATGACCTTTCGGCCTACACTACATCCAACCTATACATATGCGTATAATCCGACCTACAAAAGTGTAAATCCGACCTACTGCAATATAGAGACCATCCTATCCGATCTATACAATTGACGACCATACCGACCTACAAATGTGTACATCCGACCTACAATTATGCATATATCCGACCTACAAAAGTGTAAATCCGACCTACAATCGATGACCATATCCGACCTACAAACATGTGATACATCCGACCATAGTACAGGTCGGATCAAACGAAAGTTTTTTTTAATTAAGGTGCAACTGACCTAAAGTTTAACAGACCTACAGCAGCTAAAAGCAGCTGGAAAACCACGTGCAAGGTCAGAAGTGTAATATATAGAGGATGCGTATAGTCGAAAAATACACCACCGCGACCATATATTTTCTCATTTTCCTTCCAGCTGATTCCAAGTACTCTTTTGACGCTTTTATCTGTGTTCCTAATCAGTTTACAAAGCGATGACTTTCTCATAGTGACTTGGTCGACTCTTAGTCCGTATGTATCATAGTTCGGATGATTTGACACCGAATATGTATTTTAAACAGAAGATAAAACTATACGTCGTCTTCTGCGTTTTTAAATTGAACTACCGCGAAAGTGTACTCTTTCTGTCAGATCAAAATCAAATAGAAATCAGCGAGTTTGCAGACGAGATTCTAGACAGTACTGAGTATTGAGTAATTAGTAAACACCAGGCCCGCCCCTGGCCCATAATTGAAATATCAAGCACTAACCTAACCTAACCTATTAACCTAACATGACCTCGGCCTTCTTAAATAGGGTCTGTCCTAGTGAACGATTTTTGGACCCCCCCCCCCTCCTATCAATTTTGTACATGACCATTTATTTTTCAGCAAATTTATTATTATTTATACGCAGCGCTCGGCCCAGAAAGTGTCTTTACTAACCTAACCCGTGGCCGCAGCGCTAGGCCCCCTAGCCCATCCTAGCCGCAGTGCTCGGCCCAGAAAGTGTCTTAACCTAACCTAACCCTAAATAACAAAAAAATAAATAATAATAAATTGACTGAAAAATAAATGGTCAATGGTCATGTACAAAATTGATAGGAGGGGGGGGGGTCCAAAAATCGTTCACTAGGACAGACCCCAGAGATATAAACAGTAATACTATTTTGGGAATATTGAGGATCTGTAGTACGTGTTATAGTACAGCTCTTGAATGCAGAAACATTGTAGGTGTCATATAATACCCTGAACTGAATTCGATATTTAAAAACAGTCAAAGACACTAAATGATTTATAAATTAAAAATTTATTTCAGAGATAAATGGTTGAAGTGGGGGAGGAGACAAAGAGGGAGAATATTGATATAAAAAGAAGAGATTCAGGAAGAATATTTTTTACTCTCAGAGAGCACATGTACTGTTAATCATATTTCATATTTTTATTCAACTACAAAGCACGAGATAATACAAATAAAAAAATCACAATTTACTATGTAGTTTGGACCCGCCTAACCAGAGTAGGTTGTTTTTAATTGGTTGACCCACTATAAACGAATGAGAATTGCAGATAAAAACAATGTACATTGTACATTTTAAACATAAGAATGATAATAAATTAGGTAAAAGGTAAGGAGGAGGTGAGGGAGTATAAAGAAAAGGGAGGATACTCAGCGTAAGGGTTAAACAGAAAGCGGATGTGAAATCGGAAAGAATTGAAATTAATGAAGAAGAAATAACACTCTCTACTGTGGAGGATACATGTATTGTATATATAAAGGAAGAGGATGTCAAGAATTTAAATACTGGATTGAAGGTAATATTTGGATCGCTGTGGTCGAAACTATTGATTATTTGAAGAAAGGTAATTTTGGGTCAATTTAACTGAGTTTTTACGTCATTTATTGCAAATAAATGAGAAAATAAGGAAGTGAACAAACAGAAATAGTAAAAAAAGTTCTCGTTTCCAGGTTTAAAGGAATAATTAAATGTAACATTTTCTTGGATTTTTTATAATAATCAAAGTTATTGTTTAGGTGAATTATTAAGCCAGGAAGAGGATCCTCTGCTGTCTGAGTCAAGGAGGAAAAAGAGAAAACCCCGATGTAAGAAGATATTCTTATGATTTATTAATTGATTGATTGATAGATGTTTATTTCTATATTCACTTTGGCAGGTGTCTTAAATGTGATATTCTTATGAAAAATGATAAATGGATTAAGAACCTTATTTTACAGGGTCTGCAATAATATGGAATAATTTCTAAGCAATGTCTTTGTTACAACTTTCAATGATTAAAGCTGAAAGTAACTAAAATGTGCAACTAATAACAAATTAATGAGTGTGCGCTGGGTGAGATTCATGTTTTGGATGCAATGCAAAAGTTCAATCCAAGAATAGACATGAATTTATGTTGAGGGGGGGGGGGTGGATCTTAGTGAAAAAAGGAAAAATTAGACATTAAAAGGCAAGGGTTTAATCCTATTTCGTACTTTTTACCCAACAATTAATCTATTTTCTCCTGCAAATAATTTATTTTCCCCAATTAAGTTGGTTTAAAAACTCTTAAAACAACTTTCGCAAACTTAACCATCATCTACGGAAAATATGATTTTAAAAGAGTAGTTGGGGCGGCGGATAATTTTTCAGAAAATATACCCTCTGTTTAAATAGTTATATAGTATGTTACTATCTGACTAAGTTAAAAGTAAAAATAATATGATACCATGAGTTCTTGCATTCAAAGGTTTAATTAAATCTTGTGCCTGGATATTAAAAAATATATTATTTTTGAGGGGGAATATCTCCCCGCTGAGTAACTGATAGTTTTTGTAAATATAAAGCTTTTCTAAATATATTTTTGGTTAAGGGTCAGAAGAAAAACAGACCGAAAAAGTGTTGATAAACATCTGGTAAAAGCCAACTCCTGAGTAAAAAGTATTTACTCAGTATTTTTTAATTTTTGTTAATAGAAAAAAGAAAAAAATTTGAAGAAGACATTTTACAATTTCATAAAATATATTTACTAATCTGATCTAATCTTAAGATTTGATCCTGAGTAATGAAGAAGAGACTCTTAATGGTAAGTCAAATGAAACTAAGGAGAGAAATATAATCGGAGGAAAGTAATCTTGTGATATATGTGATTATGCTGCAACTAAGAAGAGGGATCTGAAAAGACATGACATGAACATGATTTTAATACCGTCTACAATTTTTCAAGGATTTATGTATTTGAGCTTTTAAACTGAAGAAAATCCGCAATTTACATTAAATTCTTAATTCATTATTCACATAAAAAAGAATAGGTTACTAAGATTTTACATTACATAAATTCATTGCGTTTAATTTTGTTTTAAATGTAGTTCATGACCTTAGGCACATGTTTAAGATATTTTTATTTGCAGACAGAATGGCCGGAAACTGGAAGGAGGAAATAAAGATGGAAAATATTGAGATTAAAGAAGAGATTCAGGAAGAAATCTTTCAATTCTCTAGTGTAGAGGATACATGCATTGTTTATACAAAGGAGGAAGATGAAAATTATTGGAATTCAAGGTAAATTTAATAAGATACATAAATGATACGACAAGAAACAAATAAAACATGATTGTATTTTTTTTTCTCGTCATTTTCCCTGATTAATAAAAATAAGAGAGAGAAATATAAGTGTTTAATTTTTCATTTACTCATTTCTTGCGAGTCCTATCTTTATTCATTGTGTCCTTTTCTTATTTTCATTGTTTTTTTATTGGTGCAATTACTATTCATATTATTTTTTATTTTTTTCCTCTGTCATTTTTTATATTGTTACAGCTCTTGTCGCAGCTGTTGTTTATTTATACTTCTATTTTCTTCTATTTTGAGTATAGAATATATAGGAGTCATTCTTGTGATAAATGTGAGTACGCTGCATATAATGGAAGTCATCTCAAATAGTTTATTGCTAGTATACATGAAGGATTGAGGTATTACTATGATAAATGTGATTATGCTGCAACCACGGCGAGATATCTTAAATTTCATATTGAGAATAATAATGACTGATTGAGTTATCCATGTTCTCAATGTAACGGTAATGTTGATCCGCTCTACTGCCCATCCGTCCTATTGCACATCCGCTATACTGCCCATCCGACCTACTGCAACATCTGACCTACGACAGCTGTAGGTCGGATGGGCATATCTTCTTGCCCATCCGACCTACATTCAGCAGCTTTTGTAGCATGACGGCCACTCAGTTTTGTAGGTCGGATGGGCACTTTTCGTAGGTCGGATGGGCATTTTTCGTAGGTCGGATGGGCACTTTTCGTAGGTCGGATGGGCACTTTTCGTAGGTCGGATGGGCACTTT